AGGAAGGCTAGAGATGGCCCTGGATGCAATGGGAGACCATACTCAGAGTTCAGATTAAGGCATATACTTTTTGGACATGACTCATGTGGGAACTTGTTTGCTTGATTATACATGTTCATGATGGGTTTTGTCTTGCTTTCTCAGTGGAGGAGAGAAGGTGGGAGAGAGAAAACTCAGAGCTAAAAACAAAAGTTGATTTTTTAAAAAAAGTTATTGTGGAGAATGGGATAGAGAATCATTGGGGGGAGGCAATAAAAGGATTGCATTGATTTATCAAGGGCCCAGTTGAAATTAGTGGATATAAATTTGTAGTGGAACCAGTCAATAACATTTTGAAACTTCTTCCAGCTCCATTCACTAGCAGGTGAGTAGAAACAGAGAAGGGAGATAGTGGGAGTGATCCAGATTTGGAGAGTTCTAAGGCATGAGTGGACAAAGAAATGAGGAATTTGAGAGTAAGTGATAACGTGAAGTTGAACTGATTCACTAGGTCAGAAAGTGGGGATTGATACCCCTCAGGGGACCATGATCTGACCATAGTGGTGTGTGATCAATGAATCAGAAAGTAAAAAGAGGATGCCTTTCCACCTTCCCCACAATAACTAAAAGGGCTTGTCTCCAGTACAATCATTTATAGTGTCCTCTTTCCCCACCCCAACAATATTTCACAACTCTGTGCAAGCTCCCAACTTTCTCCCTTTTGAAGCAAATGTTGGGTCAAGGATAAACTAACCATTACCTAGTCATCCACTGTATAGGTGCCATAGATATGAGGTATAAGGTATCTTGCCTCCAAAACCCACCTCTCTTCCAAACTTCCCCATTACATTACCAGGCACCACTATCCAGTTACCCAAGTTCAGAACATTGACACCATCTTCAACATCTCATTCTCACTCACTCCACATATTTTATCAAATTTTGTCATCTCTTATTTCCATACCCTTTCTCACGTTCCACCCCTTTCTTTATACTCACACAGACACCACCCTAGTTCAGCCCCTCTTTACTTCTCCCCTGGATTCCTAAATAGCTTCCTAATTGGTATTGTTGGCTTAAGATCCTCCCTTCTCTATTCCATTCATTCCATTCTCCACATAGTCACCAAAGTGATTTTCCCAAAATACAGGTCTGACCGTTTTTCTTTTCTAATCAATTAATTCCAGTAGCTCCCTCCTGATTCTAGGATCAAATATTTTCTCAATTTGTTACATTTTATAAATTTCATAGTTTAAAAATAAATAAATGTACACACACAGCTGATGCTCAACATTTTTTAACAGTAGAGCTGTACAATTAGAACAAAAATTTGGTGACCACTTCACTAATGTGCCAAAACTGGGAGGAGAAAAGAGTGTAGCCAGAATAGGGGTGATAATTTGTTAAAATACTGAGGATGGTGGGGCAGCTAGGTGGCACAGTGGATAAAGCACTGGCCCTGGGGTCAGGAGAACCTGAGTTCAAATTTGGTCTCAGACCAGACACTTGACACCTAATAGCTGTGTGACCCTGGGCAAGTCACTTAAACCCAATTGCCTCACCAAAAAAAAACCAAAAAAATACTGAGGATGGGAAGGTTGTCCCCACCATCTGCCTTCTCTACTTTATTCCCACTCTACTAAAGAGAATTAGAGATGGAAGAAATCACTCAACTTTACTGAGTGAAGTCACTACAAATTTATGTTATCTAATCTTACCTGGGCCTTCACTACTTCAGGACAACCCCTTCATTCCTCCCTGCTTAATTCCCTATTGCACTACCCAAAGCATCTGCTCTAAAGTTTCTCTTCTTTCCTTAAATCACCAACAACACCTCCCCCAACTTCATGAAGTCTACTTTCCAATTCAACTGAACTACTCACTATTCCCTAAACTCCACAGGCCATCTCCCACCTCCATGCATTTGTACAAACCATTCTTCATGTCTGGAACATATTTCCTCTTCATCCATACATTGTAGAATCTTTCATGATTCCACTCAGCTGCCCCCTCCTCTACCTAGCCCCATTTTTTTCTACCCCACCTTTCATGCTACATCCTCAAATATTCCTAGGACTAGGTATCAAATCTCTTCTTTGCCACTATATTATTTTTATCTATGATCATGTTGTAACCCCCAGTCAAATGTAAGCTCCTTGAAATTAGGGTCTGGTTCATTTTTGTCTTTATCCTCAATGGCTAGCACAGGACCTGGCACATGGTAAATGCTTAATAAATTTTTTGTTAAATTTAGTGTTAAAGGATATTGTATATAACAATATAGTCCATATGTATGGATACATAGAGGGAACTATACAAAAATTAAAGTTTATAACCAAATAGAAAAAAAAATTTTAATAACTGGAGGAGAGGCAATGAAGCCTAGTTTGTCAACAGGAAGCTGCGAGTTCGGCATCTCTATTTATATAAACAACGTCTGCTTTTTTCCATCTTAGGGTCTACTCAGAAGTTATAATCTGACTATGCTGCTGCTGGCTTCGCTCGACTGGTTTTAGAGAAGCCGATGGCCACCTGCTCTCTCTGCCCACTTTTACCACAATGAAACCTCAGTGAGGACTAGTCACTTTCCCCTATTGGTAGGCATTTGAAAACAAGATGCTGTTGTGAGCTGCAGAGAGAATGGTAATCACTGAAACTTTGGACTTGTCATCCAAAGCTTTGTTTTCCCAGGCAATGAAAAATATTGTGAAGATTTGGAGCTGTGACTTCACACCTCATTTTGGCAACTTCCAACCATGTCCTTGCCTTTTCTTTTTTTTTTAATCATAGCTTCTAGCTTTCATTATTCCTCACAGTTTTCATTCTTTCCATTGATCCCACCCTCTTAGCTCTCAGTTCTGCTGTAATGCTGTCACCCTCCCCTTTACCATCCCCCTGCCTTCCTCACTTTCTCATCCTACAAGGCCATGGTACTTCTCTTCCTTTCTTCTGATTTTTCTTAAACTCCCTCCTTTCATTGGGCCATGGCTATTTCAGTGGAGGCAGAAAGGTCACAGAGGTGGGGAGCAGCTTGTCTGCTCTGTCTAGGTACAAGAATATGATTAGAAAACTAGCTTTAACTCTCAGTCCCTAGGAGGTGAGGGAGAGAGGAGGAGGAGGAGCTTGTGGCCAGGATTCTCTGCCCATCAAAAGGCAGGCTCAGTGGTGAAGGCAGTTGGAGCTTATTTAGCTGCCTCAGATCAAAAGGACCACAGCCAGAGCTCTGTGCTGAACTGTAGGGGTTTTACAAGATATGGCAGGAGGGATTCTCAAAGGCATTCCATCAAAATAGAGCTCAACTGCTTTCAGCCTAGATAGGAGACTTCAGGTTTGAATTGCAATGCATAATGGAAGGGGTTAGGCTTAGAAAAGGACAAGACAGCAGAACTTATATCAGCAGAATAGGTGACTTTGGGGTGTGATATCAGGGATACGCAGAAAGTATCATTGCAAGGAAGGTATCCTCTCCTTCCCCCAATCAAAAAGAAGAAAAAAAAAAAACCTCCTACCACCATGCTGATATCTAACAGTCCACCACTAAAAATTCATCCATTGAGACTACACATTGTCTTTTATTAAAATGTAAATATCCCTAGAATGGTATAGTTTCAGCATTTCACTCTTTAACACATTAATGCCAAAGAGCTTATCAGATCCTTTCTCTGAGTGATAAGAGGGGAAGGGGATGAAAACCTTTAACCCTTAAGGTATACAGAGGGCTAAGGGGAAAGGGATCCCCAGTAACAGATGGTAAGAATTCATAAAGGAAAAATGAGGTAGGAAGGAAGAAGCAATACTTTTCAAATCTATTTCAAAATTTTGCCTAGAACTGAATCTAGAGGACAACTAAGCAAGGAATTGGAGAGCTTTATAAGGATGAATAAATCTGTTGACATTTCCTGATTTCCTCCCATGGAAATGGGGGGGGAGGATGTGGCAGAGGCAGAGGCAATGGCAGTGAGAAATAAAGACAGTACCAAAGGTAGAGTTTGCAAAGTGGGGAGAAGAGCGAAATTCCCCCCTTTTCTCCTCTGATACTGCATATTTGGAGTGTTGCAATAGCTTGCTATTTGGTCTGCCTGACACAAGTCTCTCCTCACTCCAATCCATCCTCCATTCGGCCATCAGTGATTTTCCTAAAATGCAGGTCCAAACATGTCATCCTCCCTACTCAATAAATCCAAATGACTCCCTATTCCCTCCAGGATCAAAAATAAAATTCACTTGTTGGCATGCAAAACCCTTCACAACCTAACTCCCTCCCCTATCACCCACTTTCCAGTCTTCTTATACCTTACCCTCAACTTCCACTTGGATCCAATAACACTGGCCTCCTTGTTCCTCAAACAAGATCCTCCATCTCTTGGCTCCAGAAATTTTTGCTGACTGTCTGCTATTCCTGGAATGCTCTCCCTCCTCCATCTCCTGTCTTCCTTGGCTTGCTTCAAGTCCCAGCTAAAATCCCACTTTCTACAGGCAACTTTTCCCAATCTTTTAATTCTAGGGTCTTCCCTTTGTTGATGATTTTCTATTTTTCCTGTATACATAGCTTCTTTGTCTATAGTTTTTTTGTTAGTGGTCTCCCTTTGTTAGACTGTGAGCTTCTCAAGGGCAGGGACTAGCTTCGCCTTTCTCTGTATCCCCAGCACTTAGCATGGTGCCTGGCACATGGTAAGACACTTCACGAATATTTATCCACTGACTGACTGAAATCTTCACCCTGTGAAGTTTCCTGGAAATTGTGGGGTATGCCAACAATGAAAAGAGACGGTCTGATGTGTTCCAGAAAGGATCATACCTGCAAAAGCATAAAGAGTTAGGAAGTGACTGCAGGAGTCATGGCAAACGTTTGGAGGTGGAAATGCGTGTCTGGTAGAGAATTATATGGGCCAGCCTAAAGAAAACCATTTAAAACAGAGGAATGGAATCAGAGACCCAGCTGAGTTATGGAAGCAGAGCACAGCTAGGTCTTATATATCAGCATAAAGAGGAAAGAAGGCAGGAAATAACCAGACAATAAATTACTTTCCAGTACAAAGGGAAATGATGTTTTCTTTTCATCATTTTGTTATCCATTATACATATTACCAGGATTGAGGCACTTTCCCAAGGGAATACTACCTCTAGTCCTGCATACAACAAGAGGTTCAAGTACTAGAAAGGATTCTTAAATGCCTCTCAGAAACTTTGTACCCATGAAGTTCCTGTGCAGTGTTTAAAGAATACAGTTAATATGTTTGTCTCTATGTATGTCTACATTCAACCCTACAGACCTCATGGAACAGAGCAAAGGAAGAACAGAACTTCACGTTTTTTCTGGCATCTTTCTAGCTAAAATCCCATAAAATTGTCCTTGATGACCATACCAATTTGCATTCTGCTACTTTTTTAAATGAATAAGACTTCTCAGAATTGAGGCATGTAATCCCTGAAGAATGGACATATGTCACAACAGCAAAGTGTCTCAGTCTTTAAATGATAGTCTCCAACAACTTATTGGACCATAGCACTATTCCCTAGAAATTAATGAACTCATCCCTGTAGCCAGAAAGATCCTTCGGAAAAAAAACTTGGCCCTTATGTGGGCAAGAATCTGCCCTTTACATAGTAGACTATTTGTCCTAATATAGAGTGAATTAGTTCCCAAATAATAGGAGACAGCTATGTTTTTGGAGCCAGAACAGGTTTCTGGTATCTAGACCCCAAGAGAGATTAATACTGAAATTTTAATCCATAGAATCATAGAATTGGGAGGAATTCCAACTCCCTCATTTTGCAAAGGACAAAAATGAGGGTTAGTGATGACTCGTCTATGATCACAGCTGACTACTTGGAGAGACAAGACTATAAACCAGGTCTCCTGAAATTTTAGTTCAGGTCTTTTCATTCATCATTCCAAGAAATCTAATATCTACCCAGCATGATTCAGTTCTGATACCCCTTTCCCAAGCCCAAATACAAATGCTAGTGTATGGAATAGTTCATATTTTATGTATTTTGAGAATTGGAGCAAGAGGGAAGAAGCATCATGGCCTGCACTAATAGAAACTCATATCTTTGGCCTGGTATTAGGAATTTCTCTTGTGGATGATGTGCCATCTTGCCCATATCTTACCACTTACCCAATACAATGACCTACTTTCCAGTCTTTTTTATATTGGAATATCTTAACATAATAAAAAAAATCATTCCTCTAGGGTATCTATCTGATATTTTCTCTGTGGAATTTATCAATGATTCTTCAACAGTAAGCTTTTTCTCTGTGGGTTTTATAAAGCCTCCAAAACATTTCTTCAAGATTTTCTTTGGGAAACTATTTCTCCACCATGACACATCAATTTTTATTTCCTTTACTGGAATGAATTCCTTCATAATCTCATTCCAGTTCCATTTTTCTGGATTATACTCACTTCTACTCTTTTCTGTTTCAATATTAATGTTTTGCTTTCTAAGCTAATCACAATATTTGATAAGTCAAACATCCCAAATCTTCCCCATGGGCTGTAAATCCACATTATTTATATACTTCCTCACAGACTTAGCACAGGTCATGAAAATGGGTCAACAAAGGCAGAGCTTATTTCCTGGTAATTAGAAATGACTCAGCTATTCCAGTTAGAGCTCTTTGGATTAATGGGATTCCCTGTTGCATGAAAAGTCAATAAAATAATCATTAAATGCTTGGCTGAATGAATGAACTAACGTATGAATGAATGAGTCACTAAATGATACCTGACTTCCAGCTACATTGTCAGATCTGATCATAGGAGAGAGGTCCTAGGCCCTTATTTGGTTTGGTCCTCAGACTCATACCCAAATTTTTCAAAAATCTTAGGTTTTGTTTAAATATTCTCAAAGGAACTATAGCTCTCTGAGAAGAACACCAGATGTTGGAAAGCACCATCATTTTCCCCCCAGAGAGGGTTTAATAGGCAAATGCTAAAACTTTAGCTAGTACTATAGACAAGTCAAAAGAGGAGTAAGGACGGATGTATAGACAAAGGGGAGCTACTAGGGGAAACAAGGTTTCCAGGGTTCTTTGAAAGCAATATGGTATACAAAATTCTCTAGATTGCCAAGAATAGACTCCCTCCCTATATGTCATCTACTTGACATCCCACCATCCTGGAATCCAGGTCAGCTATGTAGTCATTAGGTATCCCTATTATACAGTGACATTACAGATTGGCAGCACCACTTGAAGTGCTGAAGAAAGAGCCCAACAAGGGCAGTTTGGATCAGAGGTCATGGGAGAGGGCAGAGGAACCTGATCAAAACATCACGATGTCTACAGGTGAGCTGACCTAGGAAATAAAAGGCTCCTTTTCCTCCCTCTTGCCCCCCTTTTCCATTCTTCTTCATTAATGATCACAGGCCATTGGGCCTCTCCACCTCCACATCTTCACAAACGGGGAGACGGAAGTAGTTGGAACGTTGGAGACGTCTTGGAGGAAGACCAGCGATCTGACGGCAAAGTTCATCTGGAGAGAAGCAAAGAATGGGAGGTTGATAAATACAAGGAAAGGATAAGGGCTTGTGTCTAAAGGAAACAACAACAATCACAAAAACTCCAGCTTTTACACTCTGACTCCCAATCATGGTCCTAATAAATGGGCTTTCTATTCTGGAAACTGAGGGATTGTCAAGCAACTGACAATTATTGATTAAAGTGCTGACTGCGTGCAACGCTCAAGATAGATATTCGCTTAAAGGAGTCCCCAGAAACGCTAGGATATGGAAGGCAAGAACGCCTATGTCCCATCTGCAGTCTCAAGGTGATTCTCTTGCAGGTGATTTGCACAGAGCCACTGGGAGCATACAATAAATTTTCTTCTGCAAAGCTCACTATGTCTCTAGTGCAGAGACTAAGCAGCTACTGAGTCAGAGGAGGCCATGTCTGTGGTGCTCACCCTGCCTACAACCACCATGCAGACCTAGATACAGGGGAGAGGAGAGGTATCTTCGCTCACACAGTGAATGGTCTTGCGCAAGGGTGTGCTGGGAAATGTTTAACAATCAGCTCTCCGGAAATGCCCAACACACTTTAATGCCCAACAGTCTAATCTGCACTATTAACATTGTCTCCATTGCTTTCTTAAGTCAACAGCATCAACAAAACAACAAACCAAGCCCTGATTTGTAGCCTTTGCTAATTTCCAAAGTGTAAATGCTCACACTGAAAACCATAACCTTCGAATCTTCCAGTCTTTCTAAAACTACTCTACCCTTCACCCATGACATTCCACAGACCAAGCGAAACACAGAGTCCAGTAACTTGAACGCCAAAGTGGAAGCCCAACACTCCCTTAGATGCTATCATCAGCTTTGTATATGACTCACTGTCCAATGGGTTACAGCCCCGGTCTGTGCCTCAGTTTCCCCATTTTTTTAAATAACAATTTTCACTTTAGGTCTTTGACCTTATTGCTCTTCAGTGGGGTCTCCTGACTGTAATGACATTTGCCCTCTTAACCTGAGACTCCAATAAATGCCCTTGTAAGACTAGTGAATCACAGGCAAGCATGATGCACAGAGCACTTAATAAATATTCAATGAATGGATGAATATTAAGTCCATAAAGCACATTGTCTCAATCAGGGACCAGGGTGCTCAACCCCATCCAGAAGGTCCTGAAATCTTTGTGTGGAAGTTTTAAGACAGGAAATGATGGTCTAATGCAGCATCTCCTCTTTTCCATTCAGTGACCCTGATGTATAAATCCACATTATGCTAAAATCTTCTCTCCTCCACCTATGACTTCTTATATCTCACTATCTCTGGGTCAAATGGGGGAAGGATCAAGGACACATGAATAAAGCATTAATTTGTGGGTATTTGTGTTATGCTTTCTTTTCTCTATTTATCATTAGAGTAGAGAGGCAGTAGGCTAAGAAAAGCCACTGGACTTGTACTGATAAGACCTGAGTTGGTATCTGACATTTATTAGTACTGTGATTTGGGGCAAGTCAATTAATTTCTCTGAGCCTTACTTTCCTCATCCATAAGACAGAAATAGTAATACTTAAAGAATGTAACTCACAATCATCCTGAGCATTTTGAAAGCCTTAACGCTCTGGAGGAAAGGCAGTGTGACTAGTGGTTAGGGTCAGGAAGAACTGACACACACTGGCCATGTGACTCAGACAAGGCCTCTTACTACTAGTGCCACAGGAATCTCTAAGGCAATAAGTTACTGATAAGTTGTCTATTTGCATGGGTGTGAGGAGTTCCCCAATTAGATGATATCACAGTTCTGAACTAAAAGAAAGCACTGTATAAATTTTGGAAGGACTAGGACATTTGCTCTTTCTCTCTCTCTTTCCCATTTGAGGAAATGGAGAAAATACAATGTTTGCCCCAAGGACATGGTGATGAATAAGGCTCCTAACTGTAGAGACTGAAGGTGGAGAAAAAAACAGCAGAAATCTGAGAGACTCAATCCAGACCCAGGGGATATTTTGGCCATCATCATATTTGGCCCTAAAAAGATGGTATCAAAACCTCAAATTTTTCCAGCCCAGCCTAAGAGAGTAGGGAACTCAACACCCACTCTTCAGAAGCATAATCATTGGAGGAAGGGGAAAAAGAGAGAAGACCCTCCTCTTTCCCATTTATGGAACAAGGAGTCTCAGGCCAAGAAAGGACTTGTGGGACAAATGCCTCTGTCAGAGAAGTCCTCATGCTCAGGAAACAGATCCTCTGGGGACTTACATAAATATTTAGGACTAAAAATAATAACAATAATAGCTTATATTTATATAGCACTTGCATGTTTATATAGCACTTAACTATGTGCCAGGCACTGTGCTAAGCACTTTGTAATTACTATCTCATTTGATCCTCAAAATAACCCTGGGAAGCAGACACTATTATTCTCCCCATCTTACAAATGAGTAAACTGAAGTAGATAGTAGTTAAGTGACTTGTCCAGAATCACACAGCCAGTAAGTCAGGCTGAATTTAAACTCAGGTCTTCCTAACTCCAGACCCAGAGCTCTATCCACTGCACCACCTCACCACCCTACTAATGATTCTATTATTTTAATTTTGTTTCCCTTCCTCAGTTACATTGTGAAGTAAATGTTCACAAGTGAGGAGTCTATTTCAATATATTAGGAGGTACCATGCATGCATGGTCCCAAGTTTCCTGAATGGACATCGAGTCATGAGCGAAAAAATATCTTAAGTATACGTGGACCCTTTGTGTCATAGGAGTTTCTGAAAAAAGGATAACAGAAATATGAGTTAATATTATTACCTTTGGCAGTATTCTGCAGAAGGAAATCTATCTTACTGAGTTTTGACAAACCAGTGCTTCCTACAATAAGGGCCCAAAATACCTTTATCCCTCTCCTCCAGCCCTTGGTCCTTATATTACCTTTCATAACCTCATGTTCTTTACAGATGAGCCTGGAACAGATTTCCTTATTGATCATATACGTCCGGCGGAAACTGTCAGCATCCAGAGAAACCAAAAGCAGTAAAGGAAAAAGACAAAGACACTGATTAAGGGGGAGAAATAGAGACAGGCTTATCTTGAAGAGTAGAGCTCCTTCCAAGCCTTAGTTCCCACTCCCACCTACCTTGTTCTTCTCACACTCCACCCCATTCCCCGCAGGCCCACAAACATGCAAGTCTTGGATTTCCCAAAGCTACTCTGTTTCTGTTTGGGAGATGTAACAAAGCCCCCATTCACTAAACAAACTCCTTCATTAGCAGACAAATTTGCACATTGCTCCAGAGCTTCTCCCTATGCTCTTCTTTACCTGGTATTATATCTTTGACTTCAGTCTTTTCCCACTAGACAACCACTTTCACCACCAGGAATCTCCTCCTTAACCAAAGTGCCTTGTGCCTACTTCCTCCCGTTAAGGGACTCAGTTTTGTCATCTTCAGAACTAGGCTAGCATGAAAGGCTAAGTTTCAAGATTCTTGCTGTTTCCTTAAGCTTTAAATAAAACAAAATCTCTAGGATTCCCAGTGCCCAAGATATACTTATGCCATCCGAGCAAACTAATCCTGAGGGTTCTGGACTCCCTTACTTGACGATGCATAGTTGATGGATGCACTGTTTCACTGGCCGACGCACTGTGTACAGGCGAGTACAGGGAAACTGCTCCTCCCGGCATTCTGCAGAAGGACAGCCCAAATACAAAAGGGGGACTTCAGAAAAGAGGCATAGCCAAGAAGGGAGGTCTACAGTTTGGACAGGGTAAAAACTCAGACAAAGTGGTCTGCACTGTATTTTCTTTGGGGATGAAGAGGACGAGTTGGTGTTTGGTTATCTATCTTCCTGTCTCAAATTAAAGAGATTAAAGTCCCTTGGGTGTTTCTTTTCCTATTGGTGTCTCAGTATCCCATATTATAGCAGTACCTGCCTTTTCCTCTGAACTATGAAAGAGCAAATAACATTGGGGGAGTAACTGTATGTATGAATACATATACATATATGTGAATATATTCATTCTACTATTAGGCAGGAAAACATTCTCCACCTTGGTTAAACACAGAGCAGGAAAAAATTCACTAAACTAAAGCTTAAGAAGCAAGAATGTGATGACACCCTCAAATATTTTCCTATCTTGAAGATTCTAGAGTTTCTCAGATGGGAAACTGAATTGTCAAGTAAAAAACATCCAAAACTTCATAGAGAATCAGTGGAACTAAGAGGGGGTTTTTTTTGTTTTTCTTTTTGTTTTTTGGTTATTTTGTCTATGGATCAGGGGCACAGTTGTCAGTGGAAATCCCTATCCTGATTGTTATTTGATAAACCAACCCATTACTCACCACATGAAGAAATCAAATGGCCTAGGGTAAGGATTTATCAATCAGGGACACTGAGAAGCTTTTCAGAAGGTAAAGAGAATATTTATTTGACTGTGTTCTGATCAACATTTAATAATTTTATGATACTAAAAAATGTTATGTATCAAATAAAATTTTATTTATGAAAAAGTAATATTTTTATTTCTTATATGTATATAAATGATGAATCCTAGAATTTATTTTCTTTTATCTTGAAGAATGAGTATGGAGAAAAGATTTTCTGAAAGACAAGGAGTAGGGGAACCAAAAGAGGTTGGAAATCCCAACAGAGAGAAGAGGAATTTCAAAACTATCCAGCTGTTGGCCCTGTTTTTCTCTAAAATGATCTAAATAGGAAAAGGGGGGAGGAGAAAAATAAAATAAAAGTCAGGAACATTTAAAATTCAAATTTATGGAATCTCAGACTTGGAAGGGACTTCAAAATACATCTAGTCCAATCCATGTCTAAACACATGTCCCTTCTACATTATACTCAATAAGTAGTTATCCAGCTTTTTCTTAAAGACCCAAAGTAATGGGGAAACCACTACTTTTCTAGCCAGCCCATTCCACTTTTCAATAGCTCTAATTGTTAGAAAATCTTTCTTTACACCATCAAGTTAAATTTGCCTCTTTACAGTTTCTACCCACTACCACTGGTTCTGCCTCCTGGGGCTAAACAAAGTAAATGTAATGCTTTTTTCTAAATAAGAGCTTTTCAAATAGTTGCAGCTATTATGCCACATCCTTTCTTCTCTTCTCCAAGCCAATCATTACCAGTTTCTTTAAATCATTCTCATATCATAATCTCCAGACCGTTCACCACCCAAGTCATCTTCCAAGCATGGCCTGACCATAGCAGACCTCCTTCCACATTGAGGTTGAATGATTAATGGCTACTCTTTGGGTCTGACCATTGAACTATTTCCAAATCCATCTATTTTATTGTCTACCCTACATCTCTCCATCTTGTCAAGGAGAATGGTAGGAGTGACTTGCCAAATTCTTTTCAAGGTTATGTAAACTATATTCACAGTATTATCCTGATCTCTCAGGCTAGTCTGAAATACTCAAAAGATTTTCAATTAGTTGATATGGAAAACTTCTGTTTTGGGAATCCCCTCTGTCCCTTATTATCCCAAGAAGTTACCAAAGATACATAGAGGTGGTAAAGACTTGTTATTAAGTGGCAGAAGTGGAATTTGAATTCAGATTTTTCTGACTCCAAGTCTTTATGTTATGCTGCCTATACCTGTCCAAAAAAAGGAAATGAAGTTAATATGGCATGATCTATTCTTGATGAAACCATGCTAGTTTTTGTGATCACTATTTCCTTTCTAGATGTTCTCTATCTTTTTAACAATTCATTCTAGAATTTTTCCAAAAATCAAGGTCAAGATCACTGGCCTCTAATGTACAAAATCCATTCTCTTCCCTTTTTTGAAATTTGGACAACCCTTGCCATTTTCCAAACTAGTGGAATGATGTTTGTCTTCCTCACAATATTTTTAAAGACCATTGACAAACAGCCCAGCAATGATACCTACCAAATATTCAAAAATACTCTCAGAGTTCATCTCTGATTGGTAACTTGAAATGAGAAAACTAGGTGCTTCTCAATCTTTCACTAATTATTTTAGTTAATTACTCTGTTACTAGGTTTTTTTCTGTCCTTTCCAGTTCAAATATCATTCTCCTTGTCAGAGAAAATAAAAGCAAAATAATAATTAAGCATCTTTCTTTTTCTATCACTTTCCATTCACCCAAAATAGAAATCTTATCCCTTCTTTAATCCCCTTCTTTTCTCTGATTAAAAAAAAAAACAACTTTGCTTCTATCTTTACTTAGCTCTTTCTGAGCTTTAAAAATCCTGACAATATTCTTAAAGACTGCCTTTGCATTAATCATCCATTACTTTTCATACATTGCTTCCATCTCCTGTACATTTAAAAAAAAATCCAAGTTGATCAATGAGCTCCTTGTGAATTAATATTAATCCTTTAGATAACTTCCATCTTTCCTCCTCATCAAAATTATTTCTTTCTGGCTTAAGAATTGTATTCGTAAGAGCTTCTTATGCACCCTGTGCTGACTTTCCATGGCACACTTTTTTTTCCTCTGAAGTTTTATAAATATCTTGTCCCAAAATCTAAGGTGCATGTCAAACTATGCTTAGCTTTGGTCTCCTTTTTTATCACAAATTCTAAGATAGAATATGTATACAAGATATTTTAGCAAGATACTTTAGTCTCCCATGCTATACTCACAGACAATATTGAGTGATGTGGGACAGGTAGTATAGTTAGGAAGAGCTGAAACTGATTGAATGGCCAAACCCAAAGAGAATCCATTAAGGATTCAATGGCAGTGTGGAAGGGCATCTCCAGTGGATTGCTCTAGCAATTTATACTTGCCCCTATGCTGTTCAACATCATTAACATTGCCTAGGTCACAGGGGTGGGGAACCTGTAGCCTTGAGGCCACATGTGGGCCTCTAGGTTCTCAACTGCAGCCCTTTGATTGCATCCAAACTTCACAGAACAAATTGTGACCTTGAGGTTGCAGGTCACAGGCATATATACCTTATCTATCAAATCTATAGATGGCACAAAACCTAGAATAGTTAACACACCATGTGACAGATTTTGGATCCAAAAGGATGTTGGCAGGCTAGACATTTTGGAAGAATCAAATAGAATAAAATTAATGAAATGAATGAAATGTCTTACACTTGGGTTCACAAAGACAAGATGCAAGTAGTATGAACAGATAATCATTAGCCTGAGAAGATCTAGGGATTTTTGTGAACTACAAATTCATTGTGAATTAACAGTATGATATGGCAGCCACGAAAGCAAATGCAAACTCTGAATAACTTCCAGGACTAGGGAAGTTATATTACCATCACAGTCTGCCCTGGTCAGACTTATAACTAGAGAATTGTCTGGTCAATTCTGGGCAACACATTTTAGGGCACACATTGAGAAGCTGACAAGTATCCTAAGGAAAATGACTAGGATAGTAAAGGGTCTCAAGATTATGCCATTTGAGGATTATTTGAGGGAACTGTGAAAGTTTAGCCTGAAGAAGGGAAGACATAGGAGAGACATGATAGAGGCATGGTGATACATAGGAAAGAACACTGAACTTGGATTCAAGAAGAAATGGGTTTGAGTAGTGCCTCAATAATGTACCAATGAATCTTTCTGAACCTGTTTCCCCATCTCCAAAATGTGGATAATAATTAATCAGTCAATCAATCAGTAAACATTTATTAAACACGTACTATGTCATGGGCTCCATGCTAAGCACTGTAATATCTATAGCACTCACCTAGCAAAGTTGTTATGACACTTGAATATAATAATATATGTAAAGAGTTTGGCAAACCTTAATGTGCTATATAAACGTCACTTATTATTCTAAATAAAGTATTTTAAATAATATCTTGTGAAAAAAGGATTAAGTTTGTTCTGTTTGGCTGCAGGGGACAGAAAATGTAGTAATGGGTGGAAGTTGAAAAGAGGTAGATTCAGAACCAACAAAAGAAAAAACTCCCCAACAATCAGACCTCTCCAAAGGCAAAATGAACTTCCATAGGGACAAGTGGGTTCTGCTCAGTTGATCTCTTTAAAAACTGGTTGATCACTTGTTGGGGCCACTTCAAGAAGATTTTTGTTGTGATACGGGTTAGAGTAGATGGTCCCAAAAGTCTCTTCCACCTCAAATTATGTGACTTCCTTCCTTCCTCCAACCCTCCAAGTTTCTACCCATTTCACCCCAGCAAGCAGTTCTCCTCTTTTTTGATAAGAATCAACTCCTAAAGGGGAACTTCCCTCATTAATCTACCTTTTGAAGGATGAAATTATTAAAATAAGTCAAGAAATCATTAACTGCTCTGCCTTTTGGGGAATGAGAGAATTATGTCTAGATGATCAAAGTTCCCAGTTTCTACCCTATTGGGCTGCCAAGTTAAGCTTCTGTTCTGTTTCCTTCAACTCTTCACCTATTTCTTCTTTCTCTCCTGATTGTCAGTAGTATACTCTGAGAACAATACCCCTGTTGTTTCTGCTTCTTTAGATCTTTACTTAAATGTTCTTCCCAATATCGTTCTCCCCCACCCAAGGATTTCTTTGTGTGAACCTAACCTCTTAATATATAATGCTATTCTGTGCCCATCTTTTTTCCTTATTCTATTCCTGTTAAATAAGGTATACCATTCCAGAGTCACATTCCAGTCATAGATTTCATGCCACCCTCCAGCTCATTGTGCTCATTATCCCATACTCGATGCATTTGTGTATAAACTCCAGAGGCCTTGCTTTTATTTCACATGGCCTAGAGGAAGTTGATTAAGGAAAGAACTGAAAACAATGAGCTAGAATTTATACCCAAGAGTAAGGAGACAAGAAACAACAGCAGCAAAGAAAGGGAAGAAAAGTAGCAGAGAGAGGCATGCAGGATACACCCATACCTGCACTGGCGTTTTTATCACTGGAGATGGCTAAAAGACAGAAAGTTTTAGTTAATTACTATCAGTTTCTGATGTTATCTACTCTACCACTGCTGTGTGGGTGGGAGTAATGGTGGAGGTGGGGGATTTGATATCATTCAGTTTTTCAGTTGCCTTTACACACAGCCTATAAAAAGACTGCTTTAAAGACTGCTCATGAGCCATGGGATAGAAACAATTCCAGCAGGATGAGATGGAAAACTCTGAATCTATCCTCCTTCTTCCTGTCCTGGGACTTGGGAAGAATCATGTGTTGCTAGTGTCTTTGAGCAGTTAACTAGAAGCTTGAACATAATAAAGCAAAGGTTCTAGTGTCCAGAGAGTCTTTTATCTAGGATTCTGAGTGAGGGGACAAAGAAAAAGATGAAATTCTGGCAGAACTGTATTTTCACAAGAATATGATTCTTTCCTATTGGAATTGTAGAATTAGGCTTTGTGGCATGTGGCTTAAGAGAAGATATGGCCACTTTCCTGCCACCATTTGACTTGGGCTAGAGGTAGGCAAAGGATGAGTTTTGGGCCTCAAGAAAGATAGAGCAAAAAGCTCCATGATTGATTAGAGATCAGAGTACTATCAGGAGATACCTAGAAGTTACCAGGTAGTATGCTTAGGAGCACCCTAGCTCTGAGAGAAAACTAGAATTATCACAGCATGGGAAAGAGATCTCTAATTCTCCATTTGGGCACTGATTTTCCGTATTGACCTTTTAATCAGTCAAGCTAGAATGAGATCTTGGTCAAGGGGGAAAACCCTCCCTGACAGACTGAATCCAGAGTAGCTGTAGTTAAAGAAGGTATCTACTTGAACAATAAACACATCTATTTTGGTCCCTGTCCCTTCACACTTCTGGGGAAGTCCCTGGGTTTCCAAAGCCAAACTTACCCTGATCATCTATGGAAGGCACAACATCAACAAGAACTGCAAAGAAAAAAACAACAGTGTGTATGTGGGGGGAGAGGGGAGCAGCATGGGGTGATCTGTAATACTGGAAGAAAGAAAAGAGGGATGCTACAGTTAAGGAAGTTGTCTGAGAAAATAAGGCTTGGTTTAAGGTTTAGGTACAACAGGTAAAAATTAAACTAGCTATGAATACTCACTGAAGAGAGGTCCAACTTATTGATAGAACAGTTCCAATTTGGCTATCAAACTACTTTTGAGTTCTCTCTCTCATTTTGAATTTGTGGCACTCCATTACCCTCCCTTCTCTCATGCAGAAAGATCATGCTATAATAGGTTTAGGACTGGAAAGGGTCTTAGAGGTTATATAATCTGAGCCCTTTAATTTTCCAGGTGGGGAACCTATATCCCAAGGAGTCTGGGTGCCATGTTTCACTGCATAATAGTCACAGATTTTTATGCCAATTTTTTTTTTGCAAAAAAGTAGGGTGTGAGCATTATGTAAAGCTTTTTTTTTAATTGTACTGTATTACTTAAAAATCATTTATTACTAAACTGTATTGCTGGCAGACAAACTGTACAGTTTAGCTAGCCAGGGAAGATGTAAGTCTTACCATATCATGTGATTTACTCATGGTAGCTTCACCTGCCCTCCCACTCCCCTTGCACCTAAGGCTCTTCATTGGGTTGAGTGACAATACCATTAGTACTGCAGCACTCTAAACAAACCACTCAAGTCAGCTTACAGACAATGCGCCTGTGCTGAGAATTCTAGGCTTGCCACTCACAATGTGTGAGACATAAATGCGTATCCATATGTACTGGGGAACACATTGCTGCTCTGTTTACCTTTTAAGTGGTATGACAAACAGAATTATACCATGTGACAATTACACAATGAAAGGTTAGAAACCAGTTTTTGGACTGAAAAAAAATACAGGGCGTGACGATTACGAGGTATTGACATTATGCAGTGAAACACAGTAATAAGTAATGGGAGGGAGAATAAGAATATTCTCAGCATAGAGATCTAGAGATCTAGGCCCCAGATTAGAACCTACCTGTGTCATCTGTTGGAGCATCATTCACCACCAGATCTGAAATATTCCAAGTCAGATTAATGTACAGGGACAGGAGAGGGGAAATTCTGAGAAAGAAAATAGGCAAGAAGAATAAACAATGTCTGAAGGGAGGCCTAAAGAACTAGGGAGAAAGAAATAGGATCTTAGAGGCAATTATAAAGTAAACCCCCAGGACGACTAGCTGACACTTGGGAGGACTGAGAACCTGAATGGAATGGAAAGGATAATCAGAATAAAGCTTGGCTTCATCATCTAACAAAAAGGATTTACATGTATTTAAAATGTCTTAATACTCTCCACTTTCACTTTTCCTTTTGCAGAAGTCAGCTCCAATTCTACTCCTAGTACAACATTAGGAGATGGAAACTTACCAGGATCATCTGTAAATGTCTCTTGAGTTGTCTCATCTGGAATAAAGAAAAAGGATGAATTTTTTTAAAATCATTCCTCCAAGTGGTTCCAATATTCTCCACTCTCCCCACCTCTGCCCCCAATCTCACCCTGAGTCCTTTCCCCTGATCTTTGAACCCTACATGTTGTTAATACCATTTCCTCTCTTGGGACTTCAGAAGACAGGAGATCATGAGAACTCATTTAATCTCCCTTATGGAATTATGAGAATCACCAAGATGACGTTCAGAGCATGCTCTGTGTTTTTTCACAGGGGAAAAAAAAGCTTAGGAAAAGTCCAAATGTAGTTATTTTCACTTCAACAACAAATTCAACAAATTGTTTGCCAACTATGAGGGAAGTTCATGAGTGAAATAAAAAGTATTCAAATAACTTTAACACAATGTAGAAGGAGGTAAGTTTCACCAAAAATTTTTTTTTAAAGTTACAGTGGTCAACAGGGCAAGAAGTTGCAAAAGAGTCAAGTAAGATAAGGACTGAGAAAAAGGTCATTGGATTTGGTGATTAGGAAGTCTTTGGGTAGAAAAAAAAATAGGTCGAGAGGAAAAAGAGGCATCTGATCAGTCAGTCAATAAACATTTATTAAGTGCCTACTATGTGCCAGGCATTGTGCTAAGCACTGGGGATACAAAAAGAGGCGAAATGCCCTCAAGAGCTCACTATCTAATGGAGGAGGCAACAAGCACAGAAATATGAACAAACAAGCTATATAAAAGATAAATAGGAAATAATTAAGAGATGGACAGAACTAGAATTAAGAGGGTTGGGAAAAGCTTCATGTAGAACATGGGACTTTAGTTGGGACTTATAGGAAACTAGGGAAGCTAGCTGGCAGAAAAGAGAAGAGACAGCATTCCAAGAATAAGGGACAGTTACAGAAAATGCCTGAAGCCAAGCAATGGAGAGTCTTGTTCATGGAATATCAAAGAGGCCAGTATCATTGGATCAAAGAGTATGTGGTGGAGAGTGAGGCGTAAGAAGACTGGAAAGGAAAGAGGAGGGTAGGCCATGAAGGGCCGTGAATGACAGGATTTTGTGTTTGATACTGGAGGTAATAGGGAGCCAATGTAGTTTATTGAGTTGGGTGCAGGTGACCCAACATGGCAGACCCACCAGCAGACTATTGCAATAGTCTGGTGTGAGGTGATGAGGGCTTGCACCAGAGTGGTGGCAGTGTCAGAGAAAAGAAGGGAATATATTCCAGAGATGTTGCAAAGGTAAAACTGAGAGGTCTTGGCAACAGCTCAGATATGGGGAGGGAGTGATAGTGAGGAGATGAGTATGACAATTAGGTTGTGAGTCTGAGAGACCAGGCACATGTTACTGTAAGTAACAGGGAAGGTAGGAGGTGGGAATGGTTTAGGGGGCAAGATAATGAATTCTGCTTTGGACATATTGAGTTTAAGATGTGTCCTAAACAACCAGTTAGAGATGTCTGAAAGACAGGTATAGACATGAGATTAGAGGTCAGCAGAGTTTCAGGCAGGATAGGTAGATTTGAGAATTGTCAACATAAATCTATGAGAGCTGATGAGATCACCAAGAAAAGTCATGTAGAGGGAGAAGAGAACAGGGCCCAGGATAGAATCCTATGGGATTCTAGAGCTGAAAGGCATGATCTGGATGAGGGTGCAGCAAAAGAGACTGAGAAGAAACAGTCAGATAGAGACTGACATCCTAAGAACCTAGAGGAAAGAGTGATATCAAAGAGGAGAGGGTTAGATGACTCATTTGAAAAATTTAGCAGTGAAGCAGAAAAGGGAAAGAGGGAGGGATTAAGAAGACCAGATCATGTTTTTAGGGTGATATTTAAGAAATAGTAGATAAGAAGAGATTCATGATATGTGAGATAGCATAACAGCTAAAAAAAGATCCTGGTGGAGGCTGAAGAAAATAGAACAAGAATACAAGTAGAGGGATTCAGCTTTTGTCAAGGACAGGGCTACTTTGTCTTCTGTGATGAAAAAAGGATGGATAATGGTGATAAGAAGTTTTGAGGAATAGAGGAAGGAATTAAAATAGCTTGTGGAATGGCCTTAATCTTCTCAGTTAGGTAGGAATCCACCTCATTTGTTCTAACTGTGGGGGATAGGAAGTGGGTACAAGTTGAGGGTGAAAAGAGAAATGAGAGAAAAGAAATCAATCGATAAATTTTTTTAAGCATCTACTAAGATTCAGGCATGTGGGATGCAGAAATAGAAATGAAAGTCACTGTCCTTGGGGAAGGAGGACTTGAGTTCAAATCCAGTCTCAGATACTTACTAGCTGTGTGACTCTGGGCAAGTCATTTTATGCAGACTGCCTTCAAAAAGAAAAGTCAATATCCTTAAGAAACATATGTTCTATTTGGGAAAACATGTAAAGATGATACAAAATATATACAAAGTAAATACAAGAAAATTTAAGGAGATAAGAACTAGCAGCTGAGGGGATGTGGTAAGATTTCCTGTAGAAGATGGCACTTGAGTTGAGCTTTGAAAAAGACTAAGGATTACAAGAGGCAGAGATAAAGAGGGAGTGCATTTCAGGCATAAGGGCCAACCTATGAAAAGGAATAGTGGAAACAGATAGGACAGAAAGTAGATCAGTTTGTCTAGAATGTAGGGTATGTGGAGGAGAGTTATAACTTTATAATACATCTGAAAAAAAGTAGGCCACAGCCAGATGGCTAAGGGCTTTAAATGTAAAAGAGAGGAATTTGTTTTTAATCCTAAAGAATGGACAGACATTAGAGACTCTCAAGCAGGAAAAGACATAGTCAGACTTGGGCTTTAGGAATATCAGATTGGCAGTTGTGTGGATGATGAATTGGAGAGGGGAGATTCTGGAGACTGGGAGACCAGTTATGAGGTTGTTTCAATAGTCCAGATAAAGTGTGATAAGAACCTGAATAAAGTACTAGCTGTGTAAGTGGTGAGCAGGGAATTTATGCAACAGGAGCTGTGAAGGTAGAATCAATAAAACTTGGCAAATGATTGGTTATGTTGGGGTTAGGGAGAATGAAGAGTCAAGGATGACTCTGGGTTTCTGGAAGAATAGTGGCACCCTCGACAGAAGTAGGAACCACCCTGGGGGTAGATGGAGGGGAAGCTATTCCATTCTGAACTCCTTAGAACCATGGGTCCTTACCTTCACCATGATCATTTTTAGCTTTTCTATTACACTTACCTCTCCTTCCACTTTTCACCCCTTCCTCAGAGAATTTTTTCGTCAACTCAACACTACTCTTTGCTTCTGGAAAGGGTATGTCAATGAACACTCACCATCCCTGAATTTCCAAAAGAAAATACACTTCCTCAGCCACTACTCCCTTAACATATGTTGTCTACCACTATTCTCCCTGAAGATAGAAACTGTTTCATATTTGTATTGTTTCCCCAGCACTTAGCACAATGGTTGGCACAGAGAACATACTAAATAAGTGCTTTTTCACTCATTCATTTATTTGTCCATTCCAGTTATGACAGAGGAGAGTTTGAGGGGAAAAGTTTCATTTTGTATATGTTGAGGTAAAATTTGGACATGCTACATATATAGTAGAATTGTCGATCTGTAGTGAAGTCTGTAGTAAAGTTATATTCCATAAATTTGTAGTTAAAAAGTGAAATCACATCAAGGTTTTAGCTTTCTTCAATGACATTCAGTAGCCCTAGAGTAGGAACAAATATAAGATGTTGGGAGTTAATTAAGGATAGGAATTCTAAGAGATAAGGGCTCTAAAATAGCAGCTAGTAAAACATTAAAGTGGCTGACTATGAAGTCAAGATTAGCTATTTAGGCAAATTAACACAAGGCATGGGAGATGGATAACAAAATAGTGATAAGTCAAGCGATAGATGAATAGTAGGTTTAATTCAGGTTAGAAAATGGAAGAGGTAGAAGGATAAGTGACATGGTAAGACAGCAGAATTTTAAAGTCCTTTCTTGGAAGTGGTCTACAGTCAGGGATGATGGTGTCTAAGGTTTGCCTATTATGGTTGTGTGATTCCCTAATAGGCAACTGTAACGGAGGTGACCAGTTGTGTGGTCAGGTTACCATAAGAGTTGTCAATAAGAACATCGAAGTCCCCAAGAATGATGGCAAGTGGAAAGCACACTTGATTTGTACTGACCAACTTGGATCCTACCTCTGACACTTTACTACCAGTGTAACCTTGGGCAAATCACTTAACCTCACCGGACCTCATTTCCCTTATCTGTAATATAAAGGGTTTTGACTAGATAGCCCCTGAATGTCTTCAGTTTCTAGAGCTAATTCTATGATCTTATGAACTGCTAAAATCCTTGAGAAAGCTAGAGATCAGCAATATAGATGGAGAAAAGGTTTGACTTTGTAGATGCTGAATGATTAAGAAGATTGTGTAATTTGCTCTAAAGGTCTTTAAAAAAATATTCCACTTGTCTGCAAAGGATAAAATATACCCATTCCCAAAGACAAAAGAGTAAACTACACAACCTTTTAATACCTCTCCAATTTTTAGAATTCTATATATAGAATACATAAAATAGATAGCTGATAGTAACAGTGCTTTACATATCTGACTTCAGATTCTATTAAATGAAAAATCTCTTAATGAGAACCTTATTCTTTTGATATCCAACACTGGATTGAATATGAATTGAATATTGTATAAAGATATATGTTCAAATGTAGGGTCTGTTAATAACTACTGTGTAACACAGGGCAAGTCACTTAACTGATATCCGAGACTCAGTTTACTCACTTTCAAACTAAGGGAATTTAATTATATAATCACCTAAACCTATATAGTTTCTACTCTACATCCCATAGATTTAAAGTTTGATACAGTTTGCTAAAGGTTCTTTTGACTATTTCTTGGTGACTGTTGTTGGGGTGTTAGCAGTGGTGATAGAGGAGAAACTCTGATATTGCTCAAAAGTGCTTCCCTGTCACAGACTATGGAGCTGTAATTGCAAAAGGAAATATAGAGTAAAAATGGGACAGGTCCTTAAGATGGTTTCCGTTAGTAGGAGTAAACAAACCAAAAAAAAAATGTCTGAAATTGTAAACAATTATCTCCTGCTACAAATTTCTCCTACTTAAAAACTGAAGCATGGGGCAGCTAGGTGACACAGTGCATAGAGCACTGGCCCTGAAGTCAGGAGGACCTGAGGTCAAATCTGGCCTCACACCAAACACTTGACACTTAATAGCTATGTGACCCTGAGCAAGTCACTTAACCCTAATCGCCTTAAAAAAAAACCTGAAGCAATTTTGGCATTCTGTCAAACTTGCTAAAATCAAATTCTGTGCATTTTCCCATCAATATGGGAATACTCTGATCCCTCTATTTAGAAGTGATCTATTCCCACTCACCCTCAACTCTCTTGGGCCATTCCGATCTATTTGAGTACTTCATCAAATTTTAAGTGTTATTTGTATACATATTTCACCCTCCTCATGTGTCTACAAGCACTTTGCGGTGAGGAACTATGGTATGTTTCATCTTTGTATCATCAGGACCTAACATAGTGTTTAACATTGATAGAGTTAATTTTACTTGAGTCCGTAACATAGCCAATGTTGCCCACTAGGTGTCAGCAAATTCACACCATTTAACTGTCTTCCGCAAGCCTTTTGCTTATGTTTGTTCCTGCCTCAACGGATCATAGCCAGACAGGACATAGGACAGTTGTGGGAAAAGATATGGGAAATAAAAATTAAATACTGAAGGGGAAGCCATATCTTGTTCTCTGACTACTGCTAATACTTCAGAAGGAAATATACTTAGAATGGGATCCAATCCAATCCAATTCAATCCAATCCAACAAGTATTTATTTATTAAACCCTTACTATGTGCAAGATGAGAGGCAGAGTGGCATAGAGAGAGGGTTGGCCAACAAGTCAGTGGTTCAAATCTCGCCTCAGACAAAAACTAGAGGGCAGCTTTTTAACACTATAATTTATGGATAAGTTGTTTATCGGCACTGAGCAGAGGCTGTTTCTACACCAGAATTTCCCTACACTGATGAAATTAAATATAGATACACACACACACACACACACACACACACACACACACACACATACATATATACATATACAAACATATATACATACACACACACACATACATACACACATACATATACATATACAGTGCCAAGGCACTGGGGACACAAATACAGGGCAAAAGTAACCACACTAAAATTCATTCTATGAGAATTGCTAAAGGTCCAATGAATCTTAGGGCTGTTTAGGATATAATCAAAGTTATAGACCACTGAGATGTAGACTTTTTCCACAAAAACACAGCTCACTCACAAAAACAGAGGCATGGATCAGTTGGAGCTCAGAGAAATTGTGAAAGTTCTCATTCAAACTTAGCAACAGAAGCAGTATGTGGTTTCAGACATATCTCCATATCTCTCAAGATTTGAATTAACCTATCTTCTTTTATCAGTTCTCAAAGAGGACAGGAAAGACAAATGACTACATAAAAATACAATGTCCAAGTTTTTCAGATCTTCTATACCAAAGACCCATTTTTAGTGTCCAATCTTTGGGATACTTTTTCTTATTTTTTTAATTCTGACCATCACACTGGGAATATGCATCTTCCTGCTTCTGTGAAGAACTGACCCTTAAGTAGCACAAATAGAAACTTCTTATTTTCTTTTTTTTTTGTTTTCTTTCTACTGAGGTCTGATTTGCTAGTGACTGATTGATTTGTACTCAGTATCAAGGAGTCAAATATCTTCATTAACAGTAACAAAAGGATCCTTTTCTTATTTTTTTTTCCTCGGGACCTATGGTCTACTTGCTATCTCAGAGAAATGAGGAAAGGTTAAGAAAGTGTAGAATGCTCTAAGTACTTTGAGACATTGGGTAAGTCACCTGACCTCTCTGTTCCTCAGTTTCCTCACTTGTTGGACTAGATGACTTCTAAGTTCTCCCAGCAGTATATCAATGATCTTACTTCATAATTATACTGAGTGGCCTAAGAGGGGGAGGGAAAGGAAGAGAGAAAGGAGGAAGAGTTGAATACTGTCTGATTTACCAACTCTAAAGAAGAGAAATTTACCTCCTGGTGCTATTTCCAGATGTACCACCACTTACTTCATAGTTAGATCCAAGAAAACTTTTCTTTTTGAAAAAAATAAAATTCTATTGATTCAGTTTATTTTAATGTCACCTATATTTTCCAATGTATCCCAGAGTATTCCCAGTGTATTTCTCCCTCTCAGAAAGTTATCTCTTATAATAAAAAGTTTTAAAAAAAAGTTTAGCAAAACTAACCAAGACATTGAAAAAGTTGACATTCTCTGCAGTGTTCCACACTTAAAATCCTCTACTTCCTCAAAAAGAGACAGAGATGCCTCTGAGAAAAATTTCTACTCTCCCTCTGTGGCTCAATTTCTCCATTTGTCAAATTCATGCAATAATCAAATGGTTTCTATCTGAAATAGTTGGGCAGCCAGTTTTCCTTGGAAAATCAATCAATAAGTTTTTATTAAGTACTTTTAATGTGCTAGGCACTGGGGATATAAGACCAAAGAATGAAATAATGCTTACTTGCAAAGAGTTTACTTGCATAGGAAATGTAAGAGAAATAGATAAAGGCAGAAGAAAAGAATCAAAGAGATGCTCCTGAGAGAAGGGTCTTTGAATATGTAAAAGAGCAAAAGATATCATGGTGAAGGAATGAGATTACAAGAGGTAAGAGACATTTCAGTGTCTACAGGATGCTGTCTCCCACTACTCACCAATATATCTGCTCACCAGGGGTATAATCTGTTGAACTCTTACCAACCCGCTCCATCATTTCCAAATAGAATCCAGAACAAGATAGGACACTTACCTCCTCGCTGACCATTAACTCCTAGTAGGATCCAATCTACAAGAGAAAGAAAGGATTTGGATAACTGCACCAACAACATTAAGTTCTTTCCCTCTTAGTGATGTACCAGGTGATGATGGGACAAGATTGTTTCCTAACTTACTGTACTGAAGACTTTACAGCCATAGAAATTCTTCCTTAGTAAACCTTACCTGGAGAGAAGCAAGGAAACTAACCTTTGTTTTACAAGTCTGAGGTCCACTCCCAGTTGTTAATCTCTGCACTCACCTCCTATGAAGAGTTTTTCCTTCTGCATATAGAATATGCATACTTATTCATGTGTACGATATGTACATATGTATTGTGGGCTTATGCGGATGCATGTTTCATTCAGGAAGAGTTGTGTTTTGTAATATGTACATATGTTTCATGTGTGTGCTCCTTGCTTTTAAATGTTTGTGTGTCTACATATATGTATCTTTGTGCTTATGTATGCATGTGTTTTTGTCAGTCTTCTCTCCTTATTCAGTGTACACAACTCTGAGTGGGTGCTTTTCCTTCATTTATGTATGTTTATTTGTCCTAATAATACTATACAGCCTTCAGTGGACCTTTTTGCCAGCCTAGGGTCATGTCCATTCACATTCCTGACTTTCCCTTCCAGACTTAACCTTTCATTGCTCCCGTAGCTAGGCTAGGTACTGATTTTTGTACCAGGCCCCGATAATACTACCCCCTACAGACACACACACACACACACACACACACACACACACACACACACACACACACAGGCACAGGAGCTTGCTTTGGAAGTAGACACCTTAGAGAGAATATGAAAAAAAAAAAAGAGGGATGACTTACCAGAGGGGATGAAGAGTGCAATGAGGCACAGCAGAAGCTTGGGTCCCAAAGGCAGCATGTCTGTGGGGGGAAAAAGTGGTGATGTAAGAGAGAATAAGAGAGGAGGAAAAACAAAGAGAAGAGAAGTAAAGGAGATAGCAGCATCTGATTCTGGAAGAGGATATTCTAGCGTCCCTGTCTCTTTCACTGGCTGGTCTCTTCTCATAAACCGTTCTCCACTTTGTCCTTAAACTCCTATTCTTTCATCCTCACCATTTTTTATCCATCTCTTCTGACTTTTTATTCTTCTTTCTCCTGTGTCTGTCTTTTGTTTCCTATTCTTTGTTCTTTTCAATCTTTCTTCTTTTTCCATAAAGTAAGACAGCTTTCAGTCCACCCATCAATCAGTGCATCCTTGCTCCCTCCCACCACAGCCACTTTTCCTTCACAGTTTCTTCCACTCCTTGACACCCAGTTCTCCTTGATTTCTTATGTCTTTCTCCCTTTCTCTGCTTCCTTTTGTGTCTTTTCTTCTCCTGAACCTTGAACAAAATTTGCCACCCCACCACTTAAAACTTAGTGATCACCAGCACCCCCCATTCTCTCTCCCTTTTCAGGGCCCCAGGCAGCAGGACAACTCACTAGATGCAGTGATCTGTCTTTTCCTACCGTCTCCTTTAGCAGTAGTTGAATATGTCTTCACCCTTTTTCAGTCAGTCCCCCCTTTGGCTGGGGAATAAGACAAGCAGGGCCACTCCCCAGGAAGCATTCCAAGTTTGGCTGTGTCTGAAAGAATGAAGTAAAGAGAGGGAGGAGAGAGGGAGGAGAGAAAAAAAGAGAGAGAAGAAGCAGGATGGAGTGTCATAATGAGTATGGAATGAGAAAAGGGGAGGGAGGGAAGAGGGGAGCTTACACTTTCAATGCAAAGCTTAGGACCATAATGATCCCATTCTCTGGTGTATGAGCCCAACCTAGTAATGAATCCAGAGCACATGTGTGTCATTCACAACCTCTGGCCCAATCCCTCCTTTTGTCCATAGGTCCTTCTTATCTAGTTAGTTCCCTCTCACTCGTTAGATTATTGGCTAAATAAAATCTATATCTCTCCGTGTTCCTTTAAACAAAAACTCCCCCAACTTTCTGTTCTCTTTGTCCCTTCTATTATACCTCCCTCCTGCAATCACCACCCCTCTCTTCCTTCATCTCTTTTATTTCTGTTTTCTCAGTCTCTTGCTTCCTTCCTTATTTCAAGCTTTCAGTCTTCTAGACTGTTCTCAATTCTCTTCCCGGAAATTACCATACTTCTCTGGGAAATGATTGTCTGACTCAAGGTTAGGCTAAAAGTTGAGAGACAGGCAATTACAAAATTCTGGCCAAGCACCATGATAGGGCTCTGTGTGAGGGCATGGCAGCCCTATCTGTCAGGACTGATCATTGTTCCAATTTAAACTGAGCATCTTGGATTGTGGAACCCTGCAGGCACAATGTCAGTGGCAATTTGGAGATCATGTGCATTCTGTCATGTTCTCTATCAAAAACACAGTCAAAAGTGTGTTGGATTTGAAGTCAAGAAAACCGAGTTTCAAATATTGCCCCTGTCATTTACTATCTGTGTGAATGATGAGGATGGGATTTGTGCTGGACCCCTAAAAGGAAAACACCATGTCTTTGGGACCTGGACCCCAAAGCCCCTGAACCAAGTCTCTGGAGTTTGACTCAAGCATCTGGCCTCTCTCAGTATAATCCTTTTAATTGCTTTTTCATTGTGGCCCTCATTGTCTACACCTAGCCCACTGGTCCACCCCAGGCTACTTGCCACTCTTTGATCCCATCCAAATCTTTCCACAATCTTTTTCCCTATTAAAAAAAATTCAGTCTTGTCCCTACCAAAAGCATAGATTCTTAAAATCCCACCCTCTTCTATTGGTAACACAATAAACCTTGTCTCTAACTGAAAGAAGGCTTGAGTGGTGGAATTCTTTTGAGGCAGACCCAAGCCCTTTTGCCCTTGAATTTCAGGGTTCCCAACACTCCTAGACCACAACATAGGGTTTCCTGACTGGGAAACTGCCTAATTTCCTCAAGCTCTTCTCCAGTCAAGACCAGAAGGTATGTAAGCCTCCCCTCTTTCTCTATCTCTTTCTCATTCTGCAGTTGGGGTTGCTCTCCAAACACCTAGGAAGGCTTGAAAGAGCTTTTGTGGCCTGAAGCTCTCAGGCTCAGAGAGTTATGAGATTGTCAGGTCCAGCAGTTCAGTTCAAGGTCATGGACCTGGGCACACCTTCTGCAGCATTGAGGATGGACGCCCTATCTGGAAGCATATGCCCAATTCTCTCAGACACTAAAGAACTGGGAAAACAGCAGGTGCTTTTTGGTTTCCTGAGGCTTATTTACTCCCTTCCCTCTATAACCCAAGGTTCTTCCTTCACTGAGGGACTCCCCATCCCCACATCTGTGCCTGCAGGATCCCCCTTCTGTCCCAGCCTCACAGCTACCCGATCTTCAAAACCAAACTCAGCAGGACTTTTCTAAGATTTGCCCCTAGGAAAGAACTGGAAAATCTCAGTCTCCAAGACCCTGAAAGGAAAGCTTTGTGCCTGGCCTCAGTATGATCTAGAGGACCAAGAAAATTGTTGTGCCTGGCCTCAATACAATCTAGAAGACCAAGAAAAATTGTAAAAGTTCAAAGAAAAAAATTCTTAAGATTTTTCTTCCTGTAGGCCCAGCTTTGACCAGGCTAAGGCTACAGTGAAAAGTTAACAGCTAAAAACATCTTAGCAGATTCTGGAGGCTTTGTGATTGACCATTAAGGAGTTTTGAAACACCTCCTCACAACCCTCGCTCCCTTCCTCTACTCCCTTCCCTTGACTTAAGAGGGTATCTCAGTGCAGGGATTACATACAGTCCCAGGTTTTTCTGTTAACCCCTCTCATCCCAGATCAGAGTAGGAAAAGAGAGTTTTACCCTTCCCTACACACACATCTTCTAATTCACCCTCCCCTACCTGGCAAAAGGAAGGAGGGGGGAGGAACAGCAACAAGAGTGGGGTCTCCACTAGTAATGGCCTTGGGCCCCAGAACACCCTGTAGCCTGCCCAGAAAGCCTGGAAGTATCACCCAGGTTCAGTGCATCCTGCTCACCAACCCCCACCTCACCCCTCAGCAGCTGTGGGGAGAGAGGGAAAGAGGACGGGTCAAGGTAAAGAAGCCAGTCAGTATTTGCACTTGGTAAGCCAGGTCATCCTTCTATCAATAATTTTTATATGACCTGGAAATGCAATTGATGTCATCTGAAGTTTATTATATATGTGTTACAGCTAAAACAATTTGGCTATCACTTATGAAAATTGCAAGATTGTTGATTATTGTTTTAATGCTGAAACCTAAAACTGGTAATTGTGTGCTGAAAGGAAAGGATGAAGTGAAAGCCTCATCCTGATTGCTTTTGCCCATTCAGAGCAGTCCTCAGGGCTAGTCAAAAGGCACAGCCCACAGCAACAAACCCCTTCTCTGGGGTCCCTGTTGATCCCCCTTTATTTGTAAACTTGCCCAAAAGCCTATTTGGGTTATGGAGTTCTTAAATAATGAACTTGACTTGCTGAGAATTTCCAAGTATATAGAAATGATCTCTAATTATTGGCTTTTACACCAGGGCAAACTTAAATTTGAGGTGTAAATCCTGGCAAAAAAAAAATTTTCCCTAAGTTGTGATTAGTAAAACTTGCTGTTTGAGGTAAAAGGTCACGGGACCATAACTGATTTTATTTTGAGCTGTCTGATGGATCATAATAATCCATCCATAATCAATAGTAAATAATCCACCATCTGAGAGAAATGTCATGAGCTACTTAAACAGAATGTGATACATGTAGAAGGTCTGCATCTGGAAAAGCTGAGAGGACAATTTTAGCCTTAGTCTAAGATGTGATACTCCTGGCTGAGTTTCCCCATTAGGCTCCTTTGAAAAAAGAAGGTTACCCACATAACTCTTCCCAAGTCTGGCTTTGAGGCAGAATTTTTGATAGTGCATGGTTGGAAACTGAATTATCTGAATTCTAAGAATGTTTTATCCTGTCATCCTTGATATAAATCTTGTCCCTGCTTTATCCTTTTATAGCAAATTTCTATAATCACAGCAAATGGTCAGTAAAAGATATAAATACAATGCAAGTGTGTGAGATTTTACTGCTTTGCCCTGAATGTGTAGTTATTCCATATCCCAAAACTGAAATTAAATCAGAAATTAGCTTGGTTTGGGGAAGAGAATGTCAGTGCAATCAATTTTCTTAGAGGGAGGTAACCTATTTAGTCTAATCATTACTTAATTTAACTAATTAATTAATCATTACTTAATTACCTCCCAAGTCTTTTGTTATAATTGGAGTAAAAGTCAGTCTCTAGCCAAGGGTAGAAAACTTCTACCTGGAAAAGTGTTGTTACTTCCCAATAGTATCAGATCTCCTAAAGGAATTGGAATCAGAGTGAAAGCTTGGGAAAGTAACAAGATCAGATAATCCTGTAGGTCAAATGTAAATGATTCTAATGGGGCTTTTTCTTTATTTTCCCCCACTCTGACCTCACTTTTACTTCTCCCTATATTTGGGCCCTCCATATTGAACTCTGCTTGTCAGACTTGCTTGTCAAATCTTTGTCTTCCAGACTATGGGCCATTCACCTACAGTTGGTAGCAAATAGTGGCTACCAGCCCATGCCTCCCATCAACTCCTGGATGCAGTCTTTGTTTGGTTCCAGTCGACCTCCTTTCTAGGACCCCCTTGAGGCAGGGGCAGCTGTATGCCCCATGTCAACAGAAGCAGTTTCAGAAGTGGAGACCTTCACCCCTTACCCCAAAAGAATTTGGGTCCCATTTGTTTGAGGGGAATGGGATTTGTGCTAGACCTCTAAAAGGAAAAGACCATGTCTTCTTTGGGACCTGGACCCCAAAGCCCCTGAACCCAGATCTTTGGCTTTCACCTGAGGAACCTGGCCCATCCCAGTCAATAATCCTTTTAACTTGACATGTTGCAATCTAGGGATGCTGGCAACCCCAAAATGCAAGGGCAAAGGGTGTAGGTCTGCCTTGAAAGAATTCAACCACTTAAGCCTTCTTTCAGTCCAAGAGACAAGGTTTATTGTGTTGCCGATAGAAGTGGGCCAGATTTTAAGAATCTGAGCAATTTAATAGGGGCAAGATGGACACTTTTATACAGAAAGACTGTGGGAAGAACTGGATGGGACTAAAGAGTAGCAAGTAGCCTGGGGTGGGCCAGGTGCAGACAAATGAAGGAGTTTAGTGACTGGAAAGCCACAGTGAAAGGGCAATTAAAAAGATAATTGACTTGGATGGGCCTGGTACCTCAGGTGAACACCAGAGACCTGGGTTCAGGGGCTTTGGGGTACAGATCCCAAAGACATGGTCTTTTCCTTTTAGGGGTCCAGCACAAATCCCATCCCCATCATGACCTTGAGTAAGTCACAATTTTTTTGAACCTTAATTTCCACATCTGTAAAATGGGGATGATAATAATATCCATTGTATCTATTTCACAGAGTTGCTATATCAGTCAAATGAGATGATATATGAAAAGACACATGAAAAATTTACAAATTTTAAAGTGGTACACATATAGGGAGTCTCTGGTTTTCACTAGCCAAAACTCAACACAAGTGCATTCAGGCTTTGCTAGTGAAAGAAAGTCATCATAAAGTCAGAAATTTAGGCTAGGTAGGAAGGAAACTCTGACCTTCTTTCTCTCCAGGGTCTATCTTTTGTTTTGACTTAAATTCATTTGAATCTACTAAGCCAGAGAGGTTCTTGGCATGTGTCAGCTTAGTTGAACTCTTAGACTATTA